GGTTATTTATCTTTAAGGGTTTTCTTTGAACTGTTCAAACCTTTGTGACACCTTAAAGCTGGCAAATCAAGTACAGGTTTGTAGATGAAACCAGAAGCATCTCCTTAATTCTGGAAAGACACTCTCCAAATCACCCATGACACTGGTTTGTCCTAGTGGTGGAAGAAATGGGACATCAACTGTGTGGCTCAGTCTTACTGTTTAGGCCATTGAGAAACATTCCCAAGCATCTCCATCTGTTATCACTTGATTTATACACTCAGGCACTAATGCAACTAATTCTGTATATTTTGAGCAATATATTGGCCCCATTAGCTAATGTAACAAGCCCTACACTTTTGTTTATGTTATATGACTTTCACCTAAAAAGGTCTTAAGATTTCAGGGAAGATGGACATATTTCCTACTATAAGGTGTATTACAAAGGTCCAGGTGGGTCCTAGAATAAAGCCTACTTCTAGAAGGTGTGGGGGACAGTTTTTGAGGAATCACAGGAGATTAGCAGGCCAAGGCTGTGAAAGTTACCTTGATGCCATATTCTGATTTTCAGGGAGTAGGAAGAGGTGTTCTGTGAATGTGCATCTCAGCCTTATACATGGAGCTCGAGCATCTCAAACTCCTCTCTGTGTTCTAGACAATAGAAGAATAGTTGGGAACACTTGCTTAATACCTTACGATATTTTACAGGAGAAAATATTCTAAGTCATACTCTTTAAGATGTCCCATTTCCTGAAAGGAGTTTCCTCTTTATGGAATGGGGGTTGTTGTTAAGGTCCAAGTAGGATGTGCTGTTTGCTTTGATAACCCAGAGAGTACCGAGTAGTAGGTGTTAAATTCCTTCTTTGTCATGTCAGGAATAAGGGTACTAACAAGGGTCCTAAACACTAAAACAGCAATTTCAGTTGTATTTCCATGAATTACTCATATAAATGGAGGAGAAAGGAAGAATGTGGGTTTTTTTTTTTTTAGAAGAGATTTTTGCTATAGGGCATGTGCACTTGCTGGAGAGACAGAGAGAGACAGGCAAAAAAGTGAGAAATAACCCCCCAGGGGAGATGACCACACTGTAGTCCCTTCTCCTCCATTCTCCCCTTTGGATTTTGGGCACACATACACATGTTCCCAGTGTTTTAAGTCACCAGGTCCAGGATTTGAACTGTGATTGACTATATGGGAGTCCAGCGACATAACCATTACATCTGCTGGTCCCCAGATGTAGTTTCTTTGTTTTTGTCCCCCCACCCCAGCTCCCAGGGGGCAAGTGTGTATGTGGGGGGAAAGGCACCAATATTTATTCAACATACTATGTGACAGCTTCTGCTAAATGCTTTGCATACATTTTCTCATTTAACACTTAAAACAGTCTCACGATGCAAGAATTTTGATCCCCATTTCACAAAAGAGGAAACCAACAGTTTCCTCTATAATATAACAGTTATATTATTGGCAACAGTCACAAAGCTGATATCAGAGCTATGTGTTCACCCGTTGTGTCCCTGGGCCTTTCCTGGGCAGTTAGAGAATACAGAATAGAAATACAGAATACCTGATGCATCAAATCTTCTGGCATTCTGCCAGGGCTCTGCAGAATGATTTCCTCTCTCCTTTTCAGGGAGGATAGATTTTTAAACCCTTGCTAAACTAACACTGGTGATAGCCCACTGCTTGATTATGAGCCAAACATAGACTCCCCATGGCTACTCTAAGAATGGGGTATGTTTTTAATAAAGTGGCTCTTACCCAGTGGGCTCACAAATACTTGTTGAAAAAATAAAGTCATTTGTCAGAGCTGATTATAATACTGCTTTGTCCTTGAGTACATTTTGAGCAAGATCAAAATTACATGGAAGCCTCCTCTCAGGTGCACCAACTCTTCCAAATAACTTCCTCACCTTTTAAGGAATTGTGTTGAATATTTTCTGCCATGTTGCAAACATAGGAAACTACTGTTTTTCTTTGGTCAGGTAGTGATGAGCATTTTTAAATGAACTACTGTACTTTCTCAGTGGGGCACAGGGAGCTATCCATTCCTTTGTTGTCTGTCTGTCACATAAGTGAGTCTACCAATGCCCCATAGAAAGTCATCCTGCCTCAATCTCAGGCAGGAATGGGTCATCCCTTTAAAGAGTGCTCTGGGTCCAGTCTTGGTGGTATAAATGGTAGTGTACTGAACTGTAGTGTGGGAAGCCACATGGGCAACTGTGGTATGACTTCAGTTGACCTAAAATACACCAGTGTACACTTGTGTACCCAAGATCCTGACAAGCTAGAGGGCTGAGGGGAGAGGACTATGGTTTTATCGGGTCCCGTAGAAGGTGCTTCCCTCTTCCTCTCTTGCTTACATGTTTGTGCTTGTGCTTTTATTAACTAAATAAATCCTGAATACTGTTCAGTTTGTAGTCACACTTCAGAGGGACAGAATTGGTCCTTCACTGAAGCCCAAGTCACCATCATGTGGAAATAGGAATTCCTCCTATTATAGAAATTTCTAACAAAATACTACTTTCATCTCAGTCACAAAATATGGGCCCAACTATTCATAATGGTGCTGTATTTCAGCCTTATAATCTTCACTAGTTAACAAAGAATGAGATTATTTTTCCTTAAACTTGGCTTTTTCCTTCTTGGGGGTATAAAGTTCTGGAAACAACAATCTACGTACAATCTGATTCAAATGACCATATCTCTGCCTTCCCACACCCATCCCAGTAAGTAAGATAAAAGAATAGATAAGAGGAAGAAAAAGGCGGGGGAAGAAAGAACGAGGGAAATGTTTATTGAAACTAAACAGAACATTGTTCTCTTTTATGAGTTAACAACACAGTGTGTTAAAGGCTGGTTACAAACTGACTCCAAAATAAGGATGACCTGCAGTTCATGGTCAGCTCTGCCAACTCCAGTGTCACCAACTGGAATGACCTGACAACGGGGTAGAATCAATCAGCTCAAGATTAATGATGGATTCAACTTTACATTTATTTTCTATGAACAATACCAGTATATGCATTTTAAAATTCACATTGAATCGCTGGTCACTATTTATGACATTTACATAATAATTCTGTATCATTCCCTTGTGGATTTCAGGTTCAGCTGGTCAGTAATGAGCATTTATTTACTTTTCTGCTCTCTTTGGCACAATTTTTTTTTTTAAATACAAAAGCACAGTTTTAAGTTGGCTACACAATACTGCAGAAGTATGACTCATTTTGGATCTCAGTGTAAGTACAAATTTATGTTAAGCATTATTTACAAGATGAGAACCGAAGCACAGACTCTAATAAACTATCTTCATAAATTAGCAGGAGAATGACAACAAGAAGATTTTAATGAGTAGAGCTAAGATTACTAGTTAGAACAATCCTCTCGAGGAGGAGACAAGTGTTATAGAGTGGAAGAACTTCTGAACCACAGACATTGTCTCATGTAGTAGGATTTACTCTGCAAGAATTCAGGGTAGGACAGCTCCTTTTCTGCAAAGTGGCTTGTTCAACCCATGGAATCTATATTAAAATAGTATTTAACTGGTAGTTTGTTGTTCTTTGGGCCCTGATGGGTGCAAAGGTGTGGGGCCTTCAAGGTACTGATATCTTTCAGTGGATATGAGTGAACTTAGAAGAATGAAGCCACCCAGTAGATAAACACATACCAAGCCTATGTGAATGACACCTCTGTATATAATCTTACATACAGCTGATATGGATTCCCTCCAGACAGCTCAAATCTGGAAGCTGTAAATAAATGATTATGCTACTCTGGAGTATCCTATAATACATTTCTTGTTTGGGGCTGATATACAGACACAAAATAACACACTTTCTCTTTCTAGTGCTCCTGAGAAAGGAGTTCTGATAAGCCCTGAAGCAGAGAGGCAGACCTGGGTTGTAACTGTAATTATTATTCAAGTACAAGGACAGTTTTTTATTTCACATTGACAGTTTGATTCTGATCTCTGGCAAATTATATGAAAATAATAAATATATACACACACATATATATATAGCTCTATGCTGAACACTGGGTTAACAGTCACCAGTGTCTCAATACAGTACATTGAGGAAAGAACCCTTCCCCTTCCCCCCAAACCCTATGTCCATCTTAAAACTATTATTGAAGGACTATGCTGGTCTGTTTTCTTTCAAAACAGTTTCCTTGAACTTGGCTGGAGATGAGTTCAAAATAGACAATTTGGTACATTAACTAGGGAGGGGTTATTTAGATGCATTATAATCTGTAAAAAAGTGAGAGAGAAATGAAATTCATGCCAATAGAAAGCCTGAGTAAAAATTTGTAATCAATGACAGATTTTTTTTTTAAACCCAAAACACTGGTCTGTGCACAAAACAGTATTTTCTCTTCCATATCCATGATTCAATTCCAACAGTTGCTACTTTACATACTTCCAAACTTTGTCTCTTGTATTGGGTTGTTGGCCAAGTCATGATGCATCTTTGCATAGAAAAACATAGAAAAATACATCATGACTTTCCCAACAACCCAATAGAATGTTTAAAACCCAGATAATACAACTTTCCGTCTTAATCAGTTTCATTTTATCCTATCCCAATTCCCAAATCTGGAGAGCAAAGGCTATGAATCCAAATATAGAAAATAATCTGGAGGTCTGTATATCAAAGCAAATGTACAGTTGGCTGTTAGTGTTTTTCTTTTCCTTAATGTTTGAATTTTCTAAAAGGTGACTCTCATGGAGGTACTCTTCCTTATTCCCAGTTGTCTGAAGCTGGGGGCTTTAGAACTGGGAAGTCTGGGTGAAAGAGATTGTGTCAGATTTGTCCACGGCGAAACCTCCATTGACGTAGGACTTCTTTGTGTCTGAGTCTTCATTATCGAGGACGGTGGGTTCCAAGGCAAAGGGATTCACAATGTTGACTTCAGATGAAACATCCATCCGCTCCAGCTCCTTTTTAGAGAGCTTCTCTACAATGCCTGTCCCGAAGGCATCACCAAGGACATTGACCATGGTCCTCATAGAAAAATACATCATGACTTTCCCAACAACCCAATAGAATGTTTAAAACCCAGATAATACAACTTTCCGTCTTAATCAGTTTCATTTTATCCTATCCCAATTCCCAAATCTGGAGAGCAAAGGCTATGAATCCAAATATAGAAAATAATCTGGAGGTCTGTATATCAAAGCAAATGTACAGTTGGCTGTTAGTGTTTTTCTTTTCCTTAATGTTTGAATTTTCTAAAAGGTGACTCTCATGGAGGTACTCTTCCTTATTCCCAGTTGTCTGAAGCTGGGGGCTTTAGAACTGGGAAGTCTGGGTGAAAGAGATTGTGTCAGATTTGTCCACGGCGAAACCTCCATTGACGTAGGACTTCTTTGTGTCTGAGTCTTCATTATCGAGGACGGTGGGTTCCAAGGCAAAGGGATTCACAATGTTGACTTCAGATGAAACATCCATCCGCTCCAGCTCCTTTTTAGAGAGCTTCTCTACAATGCCTGTCCCGAAGGCATCACCAAGGACATTGACCATGGTCCTGAACCGGTCCCTGGGGAAGAGACAGGAGGAGTCAGGCAGGTGGCCTAGAGTTTATTTTCCTTCACCATTGGAAAGAGAAAAGAACATGAACATGTTCAGTTCAGATTTAAGTAAATGCAGAAAATGCTGTCCTCATGGCTGACTGACAGAGGCAGAAGGTCATTCATAAAGGTACAGAATGAACAAACAGGCTCCACAGCCTCTGTGTTCTCTCTATATAGCATAACTCCCCTAAGATCCTCTAATTTCTTCCTCTCCACCCAAAGAAATATGAAAGTCTTCATAGATATTTTTCAGGGACTGAAAATGGTTCATAATTCAGTAAGGCTTTCTGCCTTAATCTTTGTCTTGTGGGTTTTCTTGATTCGATGCAAATGACATTGGGTTCTCTGCTGGTTACAGTGAGAGAATGTAGATGTTTTGTGGGTAGCACATGTGTCAGATATGTAAGATGTGTGTATGTGTTCCTGGTGCACTTGTTTCTTTACCAAACTAGGCAACCCTATTTATGAGCATGTTAAAGTGATACAGCAGAGCACAGTCAGAAAATCCAGGAATGGATTTCTCCTTGAGGCACCCTCAACCTGTCTTAACTTTAGGACAGCCTTGAGAAAACAATGGTGGCAGGAAGATGTGTACAGAAGGATATTGCTGAGTATATAGAATATCTATTTTAATATTGGAGTATTTTAGGTAGGAGTCATGTACATGGGTATTCTTGTGAAAACTACATCTGAAGGACAGACAAGGCCAACAATGCTTACACATGTCTACTCTAGATGCCCTTCTATTATTTAGGATAAGGCCAGGTAGTGAATTAGTCTAGAGGTTTTTTTTTTTTTTTTTTTTTTTTTTTTTTATCATCCCACAGCCTCAGATTGGACATTTGACTCATTTGAGTATTTTGGCAGTGACAGGTACTGGTTCCAGAAATTTCAGGGAAAGGAAAGAAGTGCAAATCCACCATCACCACTATGAGTTGGAACAGAAAAGAGACAACAAACTCCAGGAGATGAGGAAGTCCTTCCATGATTTGAAAGAAGAAACGGACACTATAAGAAAGAATCAGATGGAACTATTAGAGATGAATTCTGTAATAAAGGAAATAAAAAATTCTCTCAAAAGTATTAAATGCCGGGAACCAGCAGTTAGCGTAATGGCTATGTCGCTGGACTCCCACGTAGTCGACCGCGGTTCGTGTCCCGGACCCGGTGGCTTAAAACTCACGCCGGGCATGTGTGCGTCCCAAGATCCCAAGAGGAGAATGGAGGAGAAGGGATTGTGGCGTGACCATCCCCCCTGGGGGGTGATTTCTCGCTTTCTATCTCTATGTCTCTGTCTGTCTGGCGAGCGCACACGCCCTACAGTGAAAATCTCTCAAAAAAAAAAAAGTATTAAATGCCAATTAGACCATTCTGAAGGTTGAATTTACAATGTAGAAGATAAAACCTTTGACCTAGAAAAACCACTGAAAAGAAAATAACAAAAAAAAGAGGATATTATATGAGAAATAGATTCCATTAAATGTCCAAACATCTGAATAATTCATATCCCAGAAGGTGAAGAAACTAATAAGGGTATGGAAAATCTATTCCATGAAATCTTGGGAGAAAACTTTTCAAGTTTAGAGATGCACTCAAACATCCAGATTCAAGAAATATAAAGGGCCCCAAATAGAATAAATCTAAGAAGATCCTCCCCAAGGCACATCTTAGCCAGACTGGCCAAAACCACAGATAAAGACAAGATACTAAAATTGGCAAGAGAGAAATGACAAGTGACTTACAAAGATCATCCCATCAAGCTAACACCAGACCTTTCAATGGAAACAGTGCAAACAAGGAAAGAATGGGAAGACATATTGAAAATGTTAAGAGAGAAACAATTTCAACCAAGATTATTATATCCAGCAAGATTATCCTTCATATGGGAAAAAAAGATTAAAATCTTCTCAGATAAAAAAACAAACAAACCTGTAAGAATTTGCCAACACCAGACCAGCTCTTCAAAAAACTCTAAAGAGAGTCCTAGTCCTGTTCCAGAAAAACTGAAGAATGGACAGCCAGAAAATAAAAGACAACCAAGACAATGGCCAACTTAAAGGTAGGGACAAGTCCAGAAATATCAATAACAACATTGAATGTTAATAGATTTAATACTCAGAACAGAAAAATAGATTTAATACTCCAATAAAGAGACACAGACTGGCTGAATAGATTAAAAAACAGAAACTCTCTATCTGTTGCCTACATGAAACACATCTCATGGATAAAGACATACATAGACTAAAAGCGAAGGGCTGGAAAAAAGGTAGTTCATGCAAATGGGAACCAAAAAAGAGCAGGAATCACGATACTAATTTCTGACAAAATAGACTTTAAAACAAAAACTGTTCAAAGAGACAAAGAAGGGCACTATATAGTAGTAAAAGGGCTAATCCATCCAGAAGATATAATGTTTATAAATATCTATGCACTTAACTAGGAGCACCCAAACATGTGAAGGAAAGACTGCTAGATCTAAAAGGAGAAATAGACTGCAACACGCTAATTGTTGGAGACCTCAACACTCCACTATTTCCTCTGGACAGATCATCTAGACAAAAAATAAGTAAAGAGATAAAGGATCTAAATGATACCATAAATCAAATGGACTTAACAGACATCTATAGAACCTTCCACTCAAAAACCATGAGATATACTTTTTTCTCACCTCCACATGGCACCTTTTTGAAAATTGACTACATGATAAGGCACAAAGCAAACCTCTATGGATTCAAAGGCATAGAAACTATAACCAGCATCACCTCTGACCATGGTGGAATGAAAATTCATATTAATTTCAAGAAAAATCCTAAAAAATACACAAATACATGGAAACTAAATAACCTACTCCTGAATGACTTTACAACTACTGAAGAAATTAAGACTGAAATAAAGACTGAAATAAAAAGATTAAGGGAAGCCAATGACAATGAAGACACGAGTTTCTATAATCTGGGACACTGCAAAAGCAGTCATGAGAGGGAAGTTCATAGCAAATAATGCACATAAGAAGATGGAAAGGAGGCAAATAGACTACCTAATATCATGCCTCAGAGAACTGGAAATGCAACAGCAAAAAATTCAAAAAAAACTCCAGGAGAAAAGAAATAATAAAGACCCAAGCAGAAATAAATGAAATAGAAAATAAACTATGCAGAAAATAAATGAAAGTAAAAGCTGGTTCTTTGGGGACCAGCAGTTCACATAATGGCTATGTCCTGGTACTCCCATATAGTTGACTGCGGTTCGAGTCCCGACCTGGTGGCTTTACTCATGCTGAGCACGTGTGTGTGTGTATGCCTAAGATCCTGAGAAGAGAATGGAGTAGAAGGGATTATGGTGTGGCCACCCCCCCGGGGGGGTGATTTCTTGCTTTCTGTCTCTCTGTTTCTCTCTGCCTTTCTGGCAAGCGCACGTGCCCTATAGCAAAAACCTCTCCAAAAGATAAACAAAGTCGATACACCACTAGCTAGACTAAGAGAGAAAGGAACCAGGTAAGTCAAATTTGCAATGAATCAGGCAATATAACAACAGATATAATAGAAAAACAAAACATCATTAGAGGTACTATGAATAACTATATGCTATAAAACAAAATCTGGATGAGATGGACAAATTCCTGGACACATATAATCTATCAAGATCAAGTCAGGAGAATGTAGAAAGTCTGAATAGGCCCATAACAAACCAGGAGATTGAATCAGTAATAAATAACCTCTAAACAAAGTAAAGTCCTGATCCTGATGGCTTCACCTCTGAATTCTACAAAGCTTTTAAAGAAGAGTTAACTCCCATTCTGCTCAAGTTATTCTGAAAATAAATTGAACTCTCCCAAATTCATTCAATGAAGCCTCCATCACCCTTATCCTTAAAACAGACAAGGACAGAACAAGGAAGAAAAACTATAGACCAATATCTCTGATGAATATAGATGCAAAAATTCTCAGCAAGATACTAGCAAATCATATCCAAGAACATATAAAAAAGATTATACATCACGACCAGGTAGGCTTTATTCCAGGGATGCAAGGTTGGTTCAACCACCATAAATGTAATACACCATATTAACAGAAAGAAAGATAAAAAACCATACGATCATATCAGTTGATGCAGAGAAAGCATTTGATAGGATACAACATCCCTTTAGGATCAAGACTTTCTGCAAAATTGGCATATAAGGGTCATTTCTCAACACTATAAATTCTATCTATGAAAAACCCATAGCTAACATCATCCTGAATGGGGGAAAGATGAAATATTTTCCACTAAAAACTGGTAGAAGACAAGGATGCCCACTTTCTCCACTCCTTTTCAATATAGTACTGGAAGTCCTTGCCAATGCAATCAGAAAAGAGAATAAAATAAAATGCATTCAAATAGAGATAATTTCACCTCTTCTTTTCCTATTTGCAGATGACATGATTGTATACATAGAAGACCCAATGGTATCCATGAAAAAATTCCTAGACATAATAAACAAATACAGTAAATTTGCAGGATACAAAATCAACATACAGAGATCTATAGCAATTCTATATATGAACAGTAGGCAGACTGAGATAGAACTGAAAAAAGTCAATTTACCATACCACAAAAAGTATAAGATACCTAGGAATGAATCTAACCAAAGAAGTTAAAGGACTCTACATGGTAAACTATGAGAAGCTAAAAAAAAGAAAATGACACACAAAAAAATGGAAGGACATCCCATGTTCCTGAATTGGAAGAATTAATATAATCAAAATGGCAATTTTACCCAAATTAATATACATATTTAACACAATCCCAATCAAAGTGCCAGAGACATTCCTCACAGATGAAGAAAGGACAATCACACAATTTATCTGGAATCATAAAAGACCTTGTATTGCCAAAGCAATCCTGCACAAGAAGAGTGGAGTGGGCAGTATCTCACTCCCTGACCCAAAAACATACTACAAAGCTGTGATAATGAAAACAGCATGGTATTGGCACAGAAACAGACAGGTGGACAAATGGAACAGAATAGAGATCCCAGAAAAAACTCCCAAACATACAGTCAACTGGATAAAGAATACCAATCAATTCAGAGGAAAAAGTAAAACCTCTTTAGCAAATGATGCTGGAAAAACTGGATATTCACCTTCAGAAAGATGAATCTGAACCCCTACCTCTCACCATTGACAAAAATCAACTCAAAGTAGACTAAACATCTAAACCTAAGACCTCAAACCATAAAACTGCTGCTGAAAAACACTTGGGAAACTCTGGGAGACTTTGAAGTAGCAAAGACTTCTTAAATAAGACCCCCAAAACACAGTGAATAGTCCCAAAAGTAGACAAGTGGGATTACATCAGATTAAGAAGTTTCTGAATAGAAAAAGACACAGTAATTAGTGTGAATTGACAGTCCTCAGAATGAGAAAATATTTTTTGTAAACTATGTATTAGGTAAGGCACTGGTTACCAGAATACATAAGCAATTCAAGCAACTGTCCCCCAAAAACTACTCTCTAAGGAAGACTTGAATAGCCAAAAGGTATATGAAAAAATACTCAACATTCCACATTATAAGGGAGATACAGATCAAAACCACAATGAGATGCCACCTAACCCCAGTCAGAATAACTAAGATGAAAATAAATAAATAAATAAATAAAAAATGGTAAGTGCTGGTGGAGGTGTGGTGAAAGGGGAACTATCCTACACTGCTGGTGGAGATGTAAATTGGTCCAGCCACTATAGAGAACAATATGAAGATTCCTCAAAGATCTACCAATAGAACTACCATATAAGACAGCAATACCACTCCTTGGTATCTACCCAAAGGACCAAAGAATCCTTAATTGGAAAAGTGCTTGCACATTGATGTTTATTGTGGCATTATTCACAATTGCTAAGACATGGAACCAACCCAAATGTCCACAAACAGATGAATGAATTGAAAAAATGTGGCACATATACTCTATGGAATACTATTCAATCATAAAAAACAACAAGACCCTGGTTTTTGACAGAAAGTGTATGAATTTGGAAGATTTACTGCTGAGTGGAGCAAGCCAGGATATGAAGGAGAGACATTGTATGTCTCCACTTAATATATACTGAATGTCTGTACTCTATAGCCAAAACCGAATGACTGAAAGATATAGAAACATAGAGAATGGTTATAAATACCAGATATAGTGTGAGAAGAGGGTGAGTGAAGGAGGAGAGTCTGAGGAAGGACATTAAGGAGAAAAATAGAGAGACAAGGCATTTATGGAACAAAGAAATAAATACCTGTTGACAATAACATGTATAGTATTGAGAAATGTATACATGTTGAAATATTCACTTTGCAAGCTAAGTGACATATGTGGTTGAATATATAAAAGAAATTAAAATAAAAAATATTTTAAAAAAAGAAGGAAAAAAACAAAGGTTGCCTCAATGGTAAGGCATCTTTGCAAGAAGGATGCCACCTCAGTTGGGCCTTGTAGCCTCAACCAGCTGCTGGAGAGCCCTACATGGCACAGATCCTGAGCTAGGTGTAGATCTTGCTTTCTGGTATGTGACTCTGTGTCTTCAAACCCACATGAAATGTTTCTCCCTCTCTTTCCTCCATTTCAGCTACCACCTACAAACTGCATAGTGTTAGATTCCCCAGAAAGTATAAGCTAGTTCTGAGTGAAGGTTCAGTGGAGTTACACTACCCCTGATGACCAGAGTATTGGGCCAGACCTCAGTGCTAAAAGACCAATGTACAGATATGAGTATTGAGGAGAAAGCTAGGAACGAGGATAGTTGTAACTTTAACCTTGGGTGAAGGGGGGAGGTCACAGAAGGCATGTTCTCATCCAGATGTTCTACTGTGTTCCTTACCTGCATGTGTGTGTGTGTGTGTGTGTGTGTGTGTGTGTGTGTGTGAGAGAGAGAGAGAGAGAGAGAGAGAGAGAGAGAAAGAGAGAATGTTGAATGGCCCAACTTGTTCTAATCATGATAAAATTTTCCATTTATTGAGCACATACTGGCTGCCAGTGTTCTAGACATTCCACTCATATAAGCTCACTCAGTCCATATGACAACCTGATGATCCAGACAAATATTTTTGCATCTTACAGATAATAACAACTGAGCCTCAGAGATGTTAAGAAGCTTAAGGTCAAATATTAGGTTGTCAGGAAAGTCATGACATACTTTTCTATGTTTTTCTATATAAAAATGTGTTCATGATTGTCCCAATGACCCAATAGCTAATGAGATACTGTATTGGGATTCAAACCCAAGTCAGTCTTGGCCCAAAGCCATTGCTCATGCTACTGCCCTTGAAGGTTCTCAAGATGCTTGGGAATATAGACTGGTTTTGAACCAGGTGTTTCTGAGCCTCTGAACTAGAGTTGGATATCTAGGATTGCCTATAGGGTCTTGCCCTGATTCTTCCCCTGGTTATTCTATGTTTATCTTGTCCCACACCCAGCTCCTCACCTTGAGCATTACCAGGTATAAAGAGCTAATGGTGCTCACTGGCTTTTAAAAATCATTGCTCCAAGTTATGAGTTAATTTTTAAGCATGTTATCAGATGGCCTGGTCAGAGGGAAATTAAAGCAGCAACAGATGGTTCATTAGGCAATCTGAGGAGAGAATGATGACAGTCTGCAGATTTTGCATGGTCAGGAAGCCTGCCTGGCCATCCAGCTGAGGCAGTGCTTGTATTCGAACTCACAGGAGCCAGTCAACAGCAATGATGAGGGTGACATCCTCGGCGGGCAGTCCCACAGCACTCAGCACAATCACCATGGTCACCAGGCCAGCCTGTGGCACACCAGCGGCTCCAATGCTGGCAGCTGTAGCTGTGATGCTGTAGGCAAAACACAGCAACAGGAAAGAAGTTAGACACCTATTTCTCATTCAAGATCCCTGGCCTGAAATGGTTAGTCACAATAGCTGTTAATGCTGTGTCCCCAAACTGGGCAGTCAGAAACTATTACTGCTGAGTCCCAGGTCTGCCTCATGACCAGATGAGAGCCTGAGAAATAAGGTGAGAGGAATATGATGCCGTGTCCTTGTAGGGGGAAAGGTGGCAAATCACTCTAATGCAACGAAGTAGAGACGAACTGTGAGTGGCACCAAAACATGAATGAGAGAGAAACTAGAAAGGCAAGAATTTACCAACTGGGGTGTTATAGGAGGCTTTGTTCACCCATGCACACATGCATGCATCCATCCTAAATAAATGCCAGGTTCCTCTCCACCTGCTTTTTTCTTCCCTGTTTCACCTACTCACCTTCCCAGTCATTTACTGAGCATTTAACGTGTGCTAGGAATTTAAGATGAAGGATTGTAGAGGGTAGTGGCAAGGGTAGATGGGCAATGGTTAGACAGGATTTATGCTCTTTTTTTTTGACATCACAAGACTTTTTACCTGTCTAGGTGCTACCCTTTAGGACCTGACAGCTGTTAATAAATAGCTATCACTCCGGTCCAAGGTCTAAGTGTTTATTCCTGACTGCATTTTTATGCCAGGGGTTGCACTTTGTGCAAAGGAAGAGAGATCTGTAATTCAGGAGATGCAGCTACACGAACTTTATTACCATGTAAATAAAAAGATCCCTCTTGAGCCAATAAAATACCGTGCTGGGAATTTTTCTCTTTGGAATGCGAAGTTTTTCCTCAGTAACATCTTCTTTACTTTAACTGGATCAGTCTGGAGGAAACAAGGGCTTACCATCTCCTGGAAATTTCCTTTGTTTTGGATGAGCATGAGGGGACACTCAGTACTTTCTAAAGACATGTCCTCACCCTTGGGAAAAGGTCTGAACTATGACTGAGATGCCACTGGTTTAAAAGGTAAAGAAGTAGAAACTGCCTATTTAAACTAGAAGAATCTCTAATTTTGTTCACAAGTCCATATCTTGTGGTTTCAAAAAGTGTCAGAGTTTTTAGGAAACAGATTCTACTGCCCACTCATCTGCCTGGTGACATGGTGCAGAGGGCATTTGAGAGTGTGGTCAAATGCAGGCCAGACTTTTTTTTTTGAGAGTTTTTTTGCTATAGGGTGCATGCACTCACCAGAGAGATAGAAAGCGAGAAATCAGCCCCCGGGGGGATGGCCACACTGCAATCCTTTCTCCTCCATTCTCCTCTTGGGATCTTGGGCACGAACACACACACACGCCTGGTGTGAGTTTAAGCCACCGGGTTCGGGACTTGAACCATGGTCAACTACATGGGAGTCCAGCGACATAGCCATTATGCTAACTGCTGGTCCCTATGTTGCTGGACTCTCATAAAGTGTGTTTTAGTGGCTGTAGTAACCAATTTACAGTCAGTCAGAAATTCCTGGGGCTGTACCAATTTCTTTCCAAGTTATAGGCCTACCTTTCCCTTTCTACTCTACAGATGCTATACTGGTTGCCTCATTCAATATTCACAGCAGTGGGACCAGCAATTAGCATAATGGCTATGTTGCTGGACTCTCATATAGTTGACTGTGGTTCGAGTCCCAGACCCGGTGACTTAAACTCATGCCGGGCGCGTATGCGTTCATGCCCAAGATCCCGAGAGGAGAATGGAAGAGAAGGGATTGCGGTGTGACCATCCCCCCTGGGGGGTGATTTCTCGCTTTCTGTTTCTCTGTCTCTCTCTGTCTCTCTGGTGAGCACACGCACCCTATAGCAAAAAAAAAAATTTACAGCAGCTCCCAACTTATAGTGAGGAATGGAGGGTCACAGACTTGAAGTTCTGACCTAAGTATTCTTTGGAAAACCCAAGTTTATTTCAGTGTTTGTTTGAAAAATATTTAACCTGAATGCATCAAAGCTTTTCTTGGTCAGAGGTGATTTGTGCCCATGTCCATAGATTGCTGTTGAACGTCCTGGCTGGGCTTGAAACTGAAAATCCAGTTAGCCCAAGAAACTCCATCCTTGAGCCTTCCCCTTGCTTCCTAACTTTGGCTGTTTGACAGGTTTTGGTTTGAAATTTAGAACTATAACTTCTCAAATAGGGATATATATATATATATATATACACATATACATACATACATACATACATACATACATATATACACACACACACATACATACACATACACACACACATACCTGTTATGTGAACATATCCTGTTTTGAGATGGAAGACTTTCACAGAAGAAAACAGTAATCATTGGGACAAAGATCTTTCCTCGTATCGAGGGACAGTTTTAGGGGAGGCCATTTCACTCAGCTCTCTGCATAGGTTGGAAACTGAACTAAGAACTCGAGTAAACACAAATTTTAGAGTCAGGCATGCTATAATTCTGGCTGTGCTGTTTTCCAACAGTGTTTCTACTCTTAGGCTTCATTTCTTGCCTGTTGGGGACAGGAAGACTACTTTGCAGGGCTGCTTGAAGATTTAATGAGGTAATCATGTAAGGTATCAAGAATAGCACTAGGATAGTATATGCTTAAAAAAATGCCATTTCTGCTGCTACTTCTAAATAATAGCAGGTACCACTCCTGCTGCTTCTACTGTTACTGTTGCTGCCACTCTTGTGTTCACTTCAGCCACTACATCTACTGCAACTACCACACAACCACCGCCATTACAACTACTACTGCTATCTTTTTTTTTGGAGAGGTTTTTGCTATAGGGCGCGTGCGCTCACCAGAAAGGCAGAGAGAGACAGAGAGATAGAAAGAGAGAAATCACTCCCCAGGGGGGATGGCGTCGCCACAATCCCTTCTCCTCCATTCTCCTCTTGGGATCTTGGGCACGCACACACATGTGCCCGGCATGAGTTTAAGCCACTGGGTCTGGGACTTGAACCACGGTCGACTACATGGGAGTCCAGCGACATAGCCATTACACTAACTGCTGGTCCCACTACTGCTTCTTTTTTTCCTCTAAGTAATTTCTATGTCTCACATCCTGTATTATCTTTCATTTTAATAAAAGTATTGGGGCCATCAGGTGGCATGGTGGTTAAGGTGCTAGATCCCACATGGCCAACTATGTGGTTAAAATCCCAGACCTGGCAGCTTGTAAAACATTCCAGGTGCATGTGTGAGTGCACCACACATACTGAAGGGAGAATGGAGGAGAAAGGATTGTAATGTGACCATGCTCCATTGTGGAGTGCTATCTCCCTTTCCCTGTCACTCTGTCTCTCTGGCAAGCATGTACACACACTAACAAATTTTTGGTTCGTTCTAACCTTTGATAAATGAATATTATGATAAAACCACAAAAGAATAAGTTTTGGTAGGCAGTTTCCTTGATGTTAAGTTCATACACTAAGGATCTAAAAACCTCTTTAGACATTAGCCACATAAAACTATAACTGAACTGTAATGTTAAATCTAATTTTTATTATCTCCCAGGTAGAGCTAGAGAAGGTTTTTAATTTAAGTCAATGATTACTTTGAGCCAGTTATTATTGGTTTGGGACCGATAGTAATCACAAGTCTGATTTAATAATACATCAGGGAGGGCTAGCCTGTGGTGTGGTGGTTAAGATGGCTGAATCACACATGGCTGACTTGGCGGTTCGAGTTCTGGACCCGCCGGCTTGAAAAACACTCTGGATACGTATGCTTGTGTGTCCAAAATCCTGAGGGGGGAATGAATAAGAAGGAGTTGCCATCCCTTCTGGGGGATGATTGCTCACCCTCCTTCCCATCTCTCTTTGGCAGATGTACTCTCCCTACACCAAAAACTTAAAAAATACATCAAACAGTAGAGAGAGAGAGAGTTTTGTTGTTTTTTGAATGGACTACTGAATCTCTAGCAGGTAAAAATATAAATAAATAAATAAATATAAATAAATAAAAAAAGAAACAAAGAAAAAAGGTTAGAAAACAATCTAGAAAACATAATTATGACTAAGGAAGAAATCAGGAACTCATAAACACATGAATGAATCAGCACCTCATGCAACTGTTTCATGAAAATCAGTTCAGTACAGATTGGATTCTATAGGCTGAGGGAGGAGGTGGAAAGAAACACTTAGAAATTAATAGTAACCACTGCTGGGACCACAGGAGGTGGTCTTGGAGTAGAAGCTTTGTTAGGCATAATTCAAGGTTTAATTTTTTTTTGAAGAATTATTTTATTTAACTTTATTTATTTATTAGTTTATTTATTTTAATTTGACCAGAGAGGGACAGAGAGAGAGCGAGAGAGAGAGAGAGAGAAAGGGAACATGAGAAAGAAAACTACCAGGTCCAGGACTTGAACCACAGTCAGCCATGTGGGAATCCAGCACCCTCAACCACCATGCCACCTGCTGGCCCCTCAAGGTTTTAATTTTAACATACACTCTGCTGTTATAACTACAGAACTTTATTTACTTTTTTTTTTTTTTTTTAATTTTGTGAGTGTGCTTGCCACAGAGAAAGAAAGAGAGAGAGAGAGAGAAAGCAAGAAAGCATCTCCCTATGGGGCATGGTCATGCTGTAACCCCATCTCTTCCATCTCTCCTTCCTTTTGGCTTTTGGGCACACACACATTTGCAACCAGTGTTTTTCAAGTTGCTGGGTCTGGAATTTGAACTGTGCGGCTGGATCCCTTGCAGGATCCAGTACCTTAACCACCACATCACAGGCTGGCTCAATCACTAGCACTTTTAAAAAACGACATAGTATCAGTAAAGTTCCTTCCCCTCCATGTGTCAGATATTGTATTTTGCACTTGTCTTTGGTCAGTTTCAAGCCAACAGTCATAAACACTACATGATTTGGGGTCGAGGAAGATCTGTTTAAATGTAATGTGTTAGGCTCAGCTGCTGTAGCACATGTTGGGTGCTGCTTGGCAGGCTGAGGCACACAGGAGGCCTGGATCAAATTCTCAGCTCACCCTAAAAGCTGAGCACATAGTGTA